TGATGCAAATGAATATTTGAAATTTGAGATCATAGATGTATAATAGATTATATTAAAAAAAAAGATTTACTAATACAATTTTTAATGATGTTGAGAAATTTATGCATGTGGCATCACAACTGTCAGTTTATCTTTCAGTGGTCAAATTTTAATACCCTCGTACAAAGTATAAAATTTAATTATATCTAACACCTGCCTAGTTAAATTGGATATGTACCAGGGAGGATTTGAACCCAATTATTGACACTAGACTGCTCCTAGTGATTATGAACTAGATGTTCAATACGATCACATTAGTGACTCAATAAGTTATGCCCTCCCAATAGAAGACAATCCTGACACAAAAGAAGAAATGGTTCATGATGCACAAAGAGCTAATATTGTCGGGAGAGTTCCTGATAATGAGCAAGCACCGAACACTGAAGTGCACCAGTTCTATGATTTACTGAATGGTGCACGAAAACCTTTGTGGGAGTGATGCACTATGCATATGGAGTTATTAGTATGCCGAGAATTCTGTGCATCAAATCATATTTTGATATTCTTTGAGAATGCTTCAATTAGGTAGCAATATTATTAAATAAGACGAACCCTGCAAAAAAATAGTTTTGGTTGACTTGTACATAACTAAAAAAATTAGCGTTGATGTTAAGATTACTAGCTGAGAAGATAGACTATTATGATAACGCTTTCATGATATATTATAAGATCAATACAGTGGAGACGAAATGAATATTTTGCGGTGCTGATATATTCAAACTAAGGGGATGAAAGAATAAAAATTAAAAAATAATTTCATACAAATGTTTATACTACTGATCGCTCATTCCCCGGCTTCATAGATTGTTTGTTTCTATGCGTACAACTCATCACATAACATGACAGAATATCAGATTTGTTGATGCTAATTCTATAAATCATCTTTCATATAGTGAAGCCTGGAGACATTTTCATCGTAGTTATACTGACTATGGAGATGAACCACAATGTTAGGCATGGTATAAATGAAGATGAATTCACACCGTACAATCATGCCACAACACCGTACTCATGTTGACTAGTAATTATTATGCTCCTCTTGATACTATTCTTATTTCTAACTTTGATCATACCATGTCCACAAGGCCTAAAGGGAAAACTTGACGTCTACTTACAGTCTCTGATTGAAGAGCTTCAAATATTTTGAGATAAATGTGTGTTGACTTATGATATCACAATGAATTAGAAATTTAGTTGAAAGCTGCTCTTATGTGAAAAATTAATGATTTCTTGACTTACGAGATGCTATCTAATTGGTGCACATCATAAAAATTGGTTTATCCTTACTGCATGGATATGTCCAAGATAGTCACTTTAAAACATGAAAGAAAAATCTTAGGTTTCATTGTCATGAAAGGTTTTTAGCCTATGATCACTCATTTGAAAGAAATAAAGATGAATTTTTCATAAAAGAGCTGAATGATCAAGTGCACCCTCAAGGATAACTATTAATTTATTACAAATGATTAATGAGTATCAATAATAACTAAAAGATCACAACTAGCTTCAAATCATCTTCCATATATTGGTGTTACACAAAATTGGATGAGGTGGAGTACTTTTTGGGATCTTCAATATCATCGCACCAATCTGATTAGACGTAATATCGATGTTATGCATGCAATTTTTTTTTTTTTTGATAATTTTTTCAATATTGAGATGGATATGAAGGGTTGAGAAAAGATAACGTCAAAGCAAGGTTGTATCTGAAGAATATTACAAGGGGAAGGGGTTAGAACATCAAGAAAAAAATGTAGGTACAATAATTCAAAGCTACATAATGTCTCACATTGGATCAATGAAGAGCAAGCTCTGAGTGAATGCATTCCTTAAGTTTCCTATTTGATGTATATCAAACATGAGTTGCTATGTTGAACTAAGAATGAGGAAGATATTTGGCATAAAGAGTTATAACTACCATATTTTTTGTAGCGCTTACTACCAATTACATTCAATGTCTTGCCAAATCTGGCACTTGACCAATTTATCGAAATGAGAACATTCTTCAAGGAGTTGTGTGCAGCGATTCAGAATGTTGATTCATTGAAAAATATTGATGTGAGTATTCCCCTATTATTTTGCAAGCTTGAGTGAATATTTCTTTCTTATTTCTTTAACTTTATGAAGCATCAACCCATACATTTATTTTCTGAGGCTATATTGTGGGGTCCAGTGCAGTATAGATGGATGCATCCCTTTGAGAGTTATGTATTCTCGATGTATACAATAGCGACTTGCATTTTATTTCAGACTAATCTACTACCATATTTATTCAAAAATGTCTCTATATTACAGATTCTTAAATAAAATCAAAAGAACTATTAATAATGAACACATACAGAGGGTCTGATGTCCGAAGCATACTTGTGGTAGAAGACAATTACTTTATATTCCTACTATTTCAAGCAAGGGTGGAAAATACATCAAGCTGTTGGTGACAGCCTTTATAGTCAAAATTTTTTGTATTTTAGATATCCAAAGAACCATCAAGAAGGCATGACAGATGCTAACTCAATGATAAAGAACTTCAAGTAGCTACATTATATTTTATGGTGAACAACAATGAAGTTTAACCATTTATAGAGTAAGATTTTTAGTAATCAGTAATTTTCTCAGTTTTATTCAGATTGTTGTATTAATTAACCTGAATATATAATTAACAAATATGTGAGCATTTTATTTACCGACAATTTGAACATAAGAGATGATGCTCTAATAAGTAAGAAGGTCGAAGTAGAATTTTTTATATGATCAAAATTATACGTACGTTGAATCATCTCTTAAATTCATTGTTATTTGTTATTGGAAAGGCAGAGACTTACAATAACATTTCATTTAGCCATTCAATGTTATCCCATGCCCAATCTAGGCCTCAAGTAGCATAGAATGGCCAAAAGTCAAAATTTTTTATTGTGCTGGCTGGAGGCTAGCGTGGAGGTGCCCAGGAAAGCACCAGGTTGGCGCGGGGGCCCCAACTACTCTGACTTTGGTCGCACAGGCGCCCATTCCTAGTGTGAGGTCACCATGCATATGTCAAGTATAGGTCCGTCGGTTTAGGGCGCGAGTGTGCTGGTTCAGATCCTCGTTTTGTGCCTTAAATGCACATCGTAGAGTCTTCATAGATGTCTTGAGTTATGAGCAGCTATATCTAAAAAAAATATAGTTCTATGACATTAAATGAACATCCTATATTTGTGACATAAAAAATCAATGCCTACATTACGGAATAAAATTTGGGGAACTTTTTTTTTATGCTTGTGTAAAGTTTTCTTACATTTAATGAAACAAATATGTATTATTGTATTGGAAAATTTTAGAGCCTAATAGTGTTTATTGGGTATATAGTATTTCTAAACTAAATCTCGTAATCATTAAATCTCTTGTATTTTGTTCACTCTATATCAAACTTAATTGAGTAGTTGTGGTGGTCATGCATGCATTTTATGTATATAATGTTGTCTTGTGATATTGACAGAGTTGATGATTTATGTAGGGCTTAGTGTTACTAAACCTCATTTTGAGTATATCCAATATATCCAATAAGCTTTAGCACATATATTCAATAAGCTTTAGCAAGCAATAAAGAAATGTGCATGTTTCAATCTTTTTGAAATAATACATAAAGACATTTATTATATTAATTATTAAAGATTAGGTTTTTTAAATTATCAATAAAGACTAGAAAATGTAACTGTTCTCGACTGAGAAGGAATTTTCAATTGAACTTAAGATTGTGGATTTTAGTGAAGAGGCACCAATTGAAGGAATGTTTAACCTAATTAAAAATTCAATTTAATTACCTTGCTTTTGAGCTATAATAAGTTCATGTGTTGGATACAAGTAGTGAATAGAAATTTAGACCTTTTTATCTCATTGGATGAATATTCTTGTAGTGAAGATACTTAACCTATCTTATATTACCAATACGTATACTTGTTCCTACCGAATTGACAATAAATTTGGTAGAGGTCACTATTCCAATAGTTTTTAACCTATGATATTTTTTATTTTCCCCACATTAATATAATAAGCACTAAAACTAGGGTCTCAACAAAATGTGCACTCTTTCTTGACAAACTCATATCACCTGATCCTCCTAACATCACTTCACCAATCCACCCAAAGGCATCTACACCATTCCAAACATCTAATAGGACCCTTATAAGCCCAAATTAACTATAACTTAAATCAATTGAAGGTTCAAGGATGATACCCATCCTTAGATAGTTCTTGTTTTGTACATTATATGAATGCATTCTCTTATCGCATGGAATAGTATTATTCATAACATATAACATACTATGACAATATCATTTAAATTGTGCTATGCCTCATAATAACATTTTATTTTAAAACTCTCATATATAAATCCCTGTTTTATATAAACTGCTCAAGCACAATTCAATTTAAAAATGTGTTTGGAGTCTTCGTGCAACTTTAAGAACATAATCCTTATTTCTTTATTATACAAATGTGCATCTGTGTGTGGTGACATAAATTCTATAATTGATATGAGATGTTCAAGTGAACTTTTATACTCATGAATAGTTCTTGTTTGATTTGACATATCGACAAGCTAAACAAATACATCATGCTTAGCTTCTTTTCCTTATTAAATTGAGTGAAACAATGCTTAAGCCCACTCACATTTGACTAATTTAAATTTTGAAATAAGATGATGAATGAAATTTCAAGAAGAAAGAAGTTATATTATTGTATGCAGTATAAGGAATAATCAATAGTTCAACATAATGACCTCACCAATTAATGGTCTCAAACACAGCCCAACTAATAATCCTTTTTATCATTTCCTTACAAAAATTAAAAAATAAGAAAAAAAATACCTAGTAGTATTGTATAATTAAATAACTTCCAAGTAATGGTTTATCAAATTACAGAAAAATTTAACTGGAACTTATAAAGAGCCCAACCCCTTTGCAGTTCAAAGAATAATCATGAATGAAGTAATCTGTGAGTAGCCCGCAGCTCACACAACTGGATCATTCTTCTTTGTCAGTGGAAGTTCCTTCTTCGGAATTGAAAGGTCAAAAAGAGAATCCATTAGTAATAATTATGTAAAAACTTACATAAATCACATGCTTAATATATAATAATTCGTGATTCCAAATAAACAAAATAATTTCGCATTATGCAATTAACTTATTTGAAACAAATTCAAAAGCAAAATGCTAAACATCATATAGTAATTGCTTAAAATGTTTTGATGCTTCCTAAAAAAAAAAAAACAGGGCTGATGATAAAATTTAGTCACAAACATATTTTACAAAAAAGTCCACTAACAAAAAAGAAGCACTTAATAGTGAAACCTAACAAATAGCATAAAGTTTGAACATGTGGTTCAAATTAAACATTTTCCCAAACTCCTACTTATCATATCAAACACTTTTTGACTTTTAATGTTCCCTAAGCTTATTAACAAACTCTTAGAGACAAATTTTTCACAATTTTATTTTATAAGAAGTTGCCCCAACTATAATTTTTAATGGCAAGACTAAGGGTCTGTTTGGGGCAGTTTGTGCGTTTCGGGATAATCTGCTTATTTTGAAACGCGGCCCGGGCCGCAGGGGTCGACTCGCGGCATGCGTTTAGTATAAAAACCGAAACGTAATTTCGGATAAGCTGGTGAAACGCGCAAACCAAACGATACGAGCTGCCCCAAAAAGACCCTAATATTTTCCAATTAAAAAAAAGATATATATATCACAAAACCAAACAACACAGAACAAACTTTAAATCTGAATTTGGGAAATGTTAATTAAAGAGAGGAACGAATGAATGAATGAATGAATGATGCAGTTACCATCGTCAATGAAACCCTTCTGTTGATGTTCCATTACTTGAAGAATGAACTTGAATGTCTCGATCTCGCAGGGAAGAGTGAGCGCACCCATTTGGTCGAATCCGAACTCATCTGCCGCCTTCTCCAGCAACAATCTGAACACCGGCTGGCCGAGATAAGTCATCGGGATCACGAATCTCCGCTTCTCCTGCCCGACATACACCGGCATATATCCTTCCGGAACGTCCGGCGGTGCCTCCGGGCTGTTGCAGCTGTCCTCATCGGAGTCGCGGTTCCGATCAACCACCGCCTTCAGCCGCTTGGTCACCGCCTGGTGTCCGATCTGGACCGCACATCACAGTAAAAGTTGTATTTCGGTGGACCCTTTTTTTATTATTATTTTAAAAAAAAAATTGATGGAATGTGACGAGCGATGCAAATCTGACACCTGTATAGAATAATTTTTCATTATCTGGATAATACTATTATTTGACACATAATATGTGACTTTTGAAATATTGTGTTTTTGAGATTGACATGAATATAATCTTTTTATGTAAAGCTTGAAATTTGATGCATGCATATTTTCTCTCGAATATTTGTTTAATTTTTTTTAAGGCGGTGTTTGGCAGCATAAATTAAATAAGATTTAATCATAAATTTAACATAACTCCAGTCGAACATAAAACAATGAAAATAAATTCAATGCTGATTTAATAAATTTAATTATGGGTCGGATTTGTCGCATAGATTATCGAATTTATTGGATTTGATATATCTTAAATAGAGCAAATTCGGATTAACAACGCCTTAATGAACTAAATTATACAGTCGCGTGCCTTTAATTCTAAGAGCATTCCATACTTTTGGACCAAATACAGTGAAGTTAGAACTAAATATTGGTAATTATATAACAAACACCGTAATTAGTCTCATTATTTTATCCAGATAATTATAATAGGCTACCAATTTTATGAATTGTGATGCATTTTATCAAAAAAAATTACGGTTAGTCACAGCAGCGATAAGTAGAACACCAGATTGCCAAAATAAAAGAACAAATTTAAAATAGAACGTTCACCATAATTAATGGCAGAGAAATTAGCAGAATAATTCTACCTTAGCTAAAATCGAGCTGACATCGTCACCTGGGATGAAGAATAGGTAACACCGTTAATGGAGAATGGAACCAAAAACATTGAATGACAAAGCGGGAAAAGAAAAGAAGGCGAATGGGGCGGTGAGAAATTATTTGAAGTACACAAATTATTTTTTCGTCTCTAATCTAAGTTTTCTGAATAGATGTTTCATGGCCTGCTCTCTCGCCTAGCAACTCAATAGATTATGTGGTAGCAAGCAGCGGACCACCGCACTTTGCGGCCCCGTGTATTTAGACCAACAAATGAGCTGTATGTTTGTTTTCTCATTTAATTCGCCGCTTAATTTTGATTCGATTCAGTTGTTGTTGTTGTTGATATATAAGGCGAAGTTTTTTAATCTATTTGTTTTTTTCTTTTTTGGGAAAAATGATGGCTACAAGACAACGAAATACGAAAATACCGAAACAAAACCTAACAAAAAAACTTAAAAGAGGAAAGATGATAAAAATAGGAATGTCCGGACAAACTAAAACCAACCCAAATAAACATCAAACTTTGAAAACCACTCTAGAATTGTAGAACCTTAAGAAAGAGGTGAAAGATCTCTATTGATAGAACAATAGCAACCAGAACTCCATAAGTTCCAAGCGAAAGATATATGACACTTGTAGGCTGATGCACAATAAATCACTCCAGAAGTTCCAAGTGAGAGATGCACAGCTGCAAAGAGATGCAAAACAGTATGTATATAGCAGTAACAAGAACTCCAGTCATTTGAAACAAATAGCAACAACTAGAGCTCCAAAAAGTTCAAATGCCCAAGAAAATCACAAATAACTGCACAAACAAAC